AGATACTTAGATGGAATAAACTAGAAGTTTATGCAACCATAGTTACTCAGCTATTTCTAGTGCATAATATGTACCTAGCACAGTAGATTTGAAAATATCTTTGGATACTTATGTCACATCTAAGCTGCTAGTGTAATATAAACAACATGGACTTTGTCACAGTAAGCCGCTGAGAAATGCTTGGGGTTTATTCCAATTCACCGGATATACCAATGGCAGCTAGTCAGTGAATTACCTTCAGCCACAGTGTGGTATAGTAACCAGTTAAACACCATCAGATCAAAGCAAGCATGTTGGTCACTAGTGGGGTCTGGTAGACTTTCTGTCTTCAGTACCTGGATCTGGTTATTGCTTATACTGTTTAATAGTTATATCAGCCACAGGAAAAGTTTATCTACTAACAAAATTGACAAAGGATATTCCCCATTGCTTGATTGCCTGGCTTTGAAATACATATGCCCTCCCTCCCTCCCCTCTCCAGAATGGGCTCCAGCTGCAAGTCACTCTTTAGGGGAAAGGGGAAGAATATGTTCCTTCAAGGTTAGTTTTGGCCAGAAACTACTCACAGGTGGCTGGGGTTGGGGAGAAAAAGTCAATGTATTCATGCATATCCCACAGAGATGTTTTCTAAATGTTAGCTATTTCTTTATTTCCATTTGTTTTAGGTAATTTCCTTTCCCTCTATGGCAGCACCTGCTGATTTTCACAAGAACACATGTCTACACTCCTTTGCTTTTCCTAGATAGTGGGCATCAGAAATATTATAGTTGACTGGCGCTTTTAGAACAATGGCTGATACGGAATCATGAGCATGTGCATCCATCATCTGATGACACCTAATTGTAAGATTAGAACATGAAAAATCAGTGGAAATGGAAAAAAAGGTCATTTTGAAGCTTCTTCATCTTTAAAATTCTGTCCATGACATGAAGTAAGACTCCTTTTCCCTTTTTTTCATCGCTGTAAAGATTACCAGGGCATTAGCACAGAACTGAATCTTCAATTTTCCCTTCCCAGTCCATAAACTATACAGTGTTTGGCACATCGTATACGGAAACACAGAGATGCTCAACCCCATCAGGGCAGAGGCAATCTCTGCTCGTTAAATTCAGCCTTTATATTTTATTTATTTTTAAATTGTTTTTAGAATTATTTTATTTCAACTTTATTTATTTATTTTTTAACTTGGTAAGAGAGAGCGCGAGGGAAAGTGAGAAAGCAAACCGCCAGGTCCAGGACTCAAACTGCAGTCGGCCGTCTGGGAGTCCAGCACCCTTAACTACCACGTCACCTGCTGGCACCTAAATTCTTCCTTTAATATCAAGACCAGTAACATAAACACAGAGCTCATTAATTTTAATAGTTGAACAGTTTTAATAGTTCTTCCTAGGAATTATCTCCTGGGTCTCCTCCCAGACTATTCACATATTGCACCTGCAGATATTTGCATTTTGTAAGTACAATATTGCAAAAGCAGAAGTACTAGGAAAAGCCTTTGTAGCCTTGAGATTAAAAACAATGCTTCATCATTCTCTCAGTATTTTTTACCATTAATTTTAATAGTTGAACAGTTTTAATAGTTCTTCCTAGGAATTATCTCCTGGGTCTCCTCCCAGACTATTCACATATTGCACCTGCAGATATTTGCATTTTGTAAGTACAATATTGCAAAAGCAGAAGTACTAGGAAAAGCCTTTGTAGCCTTGAGATTAAAAACAATGCTTCATCATTCTCTCAGTATTTTTTACCAAATGCTAAATACTAAACACTACATGCTAAAAAAGCTGTGCTGGCAGCTGGCAGCTGGCAATTGGCGGCTGGGGGCTTTGGGGAAAAATAAAAGGGGAAGGTCTCAAAAAGATAAAAAAAATAGCACTTTTACACTCATTTTTCATTTCATAGCCAGGATAACACCAGGTAGACCTTCCTGTTTTGGTAACTATATTTTTGTCAACCCTTGAGAAACATTCACAGAGCAACAAATGGAGCTGGTTTTACTTATGCCATATAAGTTAAAAAGATTCTTTATCTCTGAGAATAGCACTTTTACACTCATTTTTCATTTCATAGCCAGGATAACACCAGGTAGACCTTCCTGTTTTGGTAACTATATTTTTGTCAACCCTTGAGAAACATTCACAGAGCAACAAATGGAGCTGGTTTTACTTATGCCATATAAGTTAAAAAGATTCTTTATCTCTGAGTTCCCCCTTCTGCCCACATTTCAGTGTAAATAATTGAAACTATGAATACAGAGGCTGAGTCACAGTAATAGCACAACAAATATTTGTTGAATGAATGAACGGATACCTGAGGTGCAAATTCTTCCCCTAAGTTTCT